GTAGAGATGAGGTCTCGCTAAGTTGCCCAGGCGGGTCTCAAACCCGCAGGCTCAGGCAGTCCACTCACCTCGGCCTCCCAAAGTGCTAGGATTACAGACTGAGCCACTGAGCCCGGCCCTGCCTGGTGGTTTCTAACAGCACTGGATTACAACTCTAGCCCGGTTTACTGAGCACTCGTTGTGGGCCAGCACTACGTCCATTACCTTGTTTAAGTTGCTCAGCATCCTGTAAAGTAGGTAGTGATATTATCCCCACTTACAGAGGAAGAAACAGAGGCACACAGAGGTTAAGCAACTTGCCTAAGTCCTACAGCTAGTGAAGTGACAGAACCAGGATTCGGCTGCAGGCATTTTCATTTCACAGCCAGCTTAGCCTGGTTCTTGTGTGCTCTTCCAGATCCGTATGCCCCCCAGAAACTGACCCTTTCAGACTCGGGCTCCTGTGCTGACTGGCGTCCAGCTGGGCTCACCAGTGGGAGGCTGGAGCAGAGAGGTCAGGGCCTTTCCCCCAAGATCTATGACGACAGCCCCTCTCCAGGGCTCTGGCCACTCCTCCCACCCCTTCCCACGGAGAAGAAGTAGTCATTCACTTGAGTCTCTTCATTGGAGCCATCCAGGGTACATTCTGCTACTGCCACCCACATTCGCTTCATGATGTGTCATACAGATTACGACAGCAGTGGTGGCAGGAGGCATCTCCATGCAAATCAAATAAAGCTCCTGAGTGCTAGAATTTTTTTTTTTTTTTTTTTTTGAGACAAAGTCTTACTTTGTCATCCAGACTAGAGTGCCATGACATGATCATGGCTCACCACAACCTTGACTTTCTGGGTTCAGGCAATCCTACCTCAGCCTTCCAAGTAGCTGGGACCACAGGTGCATACTACCACATCTGGCTAATTTAAAAAAAATTTTTTTGTAGCGACAAGGTCTCACTATGTTGCCTAGGCTTAGAATATTACCTTATCATGCAAAACAGCTGGTAAAATGCAAGGTATAAATCTTGTTTGGACTGTGATCCAAACCAACCAATCATGAAAACTATCCGTGACATACCTGGAGAAATTTGAACACTGACTGAATACATGATGATATTAAATAATTCTTGGTCAGGTGTGGTGGGTCATGCCTGTAATCCCAACACCTTGGGAGCCTGGACAACATAGCAAGACCTTGTTTCTAAAAGGAAAAAAAAAAGCCAGACGTAGTGGCATATGCCTGTAGTCCCAGCTCTGGGAAGGCTGAAGCAGGAGGATTGCCTGAGCTCAGGAGGTGAAAACTGCAGTGAGACATGATCGTGCCACTGCACTCCAGCCTGGGTGACAAAGTGAGACTTTTACTCGAAAGCTAATAGTAATAAAAAATAAAGCCTTCTTGTTCATTCCTTGCAGGTGTGCTCGCAGCACTGTAGCTATGTTTAGGGGAGTCCTTATGATTTACGGACACAGGCTGAAATCTTGACAGGTTTTGAGGCAATGAAGGAAGTGGGAAGAGCTAGAAAGAAACAATGCCAGGCCTTTCTCTTCTCTCTGCTAAGTCCCTGCAGAGGGCTGGCACAATAATCACAAGAAATGATGGCTGGGATTTGTTTCAAAATAATAGGGGGGGCAGGCGGAGAAGGTGGGGGCTGCAGGGGAAACATGACTGGCTATAAACTGGCAACTGTCAAGGCTGCACGACAGGGAGCTGGGCTAGGGTGGTCAGTATCCAGTGCCCTTCTCCCCACGGGTAACATGTGCTTGGTGTTTTCCATAATAAAATGTGACACAGGTAACCTCACTTCTGAGGGCCCCTGGAGGAGGCAGAGAGACAGCAAAAAAAACTGGCAGACATACTCCAGGTGGCTGAAGCAAGGATACGAGAGGCCTAGATTCGAAGTGACTCCCCATGAGAGGCCAGGGATCAAAAGAACTAGTTTCCAAACAGAAACCACAGCACCTGCAACACACAGACAGGGCTTCCCCCTGAAGGCTCTGCTTTTCCACGCTGCTTCTCATGCCAGAAACCCTCCAGCAGGCTCAGGGGTTGGGAGCTGGGGGTCTGGGGACAGAGGGGCAGGAAGGCGGCAGCAAAGATTCATTTTGGTTCGTGTATTTCATGCTAGATTATCCCAGTGGGCAGGGAAGGCCAACTGGTCCCCCAAAATACACAATGTTTTTGTATTTTTCTCATTATGGGAAATTTCAAATATACATAAACATAATACAGAATAATATAGTGACCTCTCCAGGTACCCATCACCCTGTTTCTTGTATGACCAAAATTCTTTTTTTTTTTTTTTTTTTTTAAGTTGGGGGCGGTCTAGCTCTGTTGCCCAGGCTGGGGTGCAGCGGCACAATCAAGGCTCACTGCAGCCTCAAACACCTGGGTGCAAGTGATCCTCCCACTTCAGCCTCCCCAGTAGCTGGGACTTTTTTTGACTTTTTGTTGAGACAAGGTCTTGCTGTGTTGCCCAGGCTGGTCTCAAATTCTTAGGCTCAAGTGATCCTCCCATCTCAGCCTCCCAAAGTGCTAGGATTACAGGTAAGAGCCACTATGCCCAGCCATGATCAACACTGTTACATCTTCAATACCTCTACCCCTCACGCTCAACGACTTTCAGTTTTTAGCTGGGGTTGACACATGCAGAAATGCAGAAACCTTTGCTGTACAATTTGATGGCAAAGCTAAGGCTCCATGTAACTCACCCTTCAACCATGATACAGAGCATTTCAGAAAGTTCTCTCCTGATCTGACATTTTAATCTCAGCCTTGCCTGTTCTGAAACTTAAGCATGACATCCAAACTGCATTTATGTGCAATCTAGTTCTGCATTCATTATTAGGTGGTGGTGGTTGTTGTTGGTGTTTTGGCAAGTCAAGTGCCCCATGCTCCTATCTACCCCATCTCCATGCAGCGAGATGTTCTTTAGAAAATGTGAAAAAATAAAAAAAGGAGACAGAGAAATTGGGCTTCAACTGCAAAACACCTGTAAAGCCCAGACACGAGCTTGAGGCCCTGCTACCCAAGCACGTCACTTTGGCCCAATTTTTAGCTTTGCCGGTCCTTAAATTCATAGGAGGGCTTTCAGTCAGACACCCTCCATTCAGGTGTTGTTGGGCATGGAGGAGCATTGGGGCAAGAGAGCTATGGCAGAGGGCCTCAAGCTTGGGCTGGTGTAAGAACTCCCAGAGAGGTCTGGAAAACTCCAGAGGTACTCAGCCAGCCTAGTGGTAGATTGGTGTACCAAGCAGTCTACATTTTTTTATTTGTTTATTTTTTTTTGAGATGAGGTCTCTTCTCTGTCATCCAGGTTGGGGTGCAGGGGCATGATCACAGATCACTGCAACCTCGAACTCCTGGGCTCTTCTCCAAGTAGCTGGGATTATAGGTGTGTACCACTACACTTGGCTAATGTACAAAAATTTTTTTCTTTTTTTTTTTTTTGAGTTGGAGTCTTACTCTGTCACCCAGACTGGAGTGCAG